ATAATGGCAGTTGTTTATATCCTCACAAATTAATGTGACTGTAATGGCTACCTCTCAGACTTCAAAAGAGAAAGTAGGAATAAAATTCAGGGGAAGCATCAATTTTTATTACACTGCCTTCTTGCACGTAGAGAAAGCTCTGAAGGTTAGAAAAGTGCCATGGCAAAACTTTGCCTGTATGCAAATGTGAAACCCTGACACCACAAAAATTGTTGCCCAAGCAATTGCCCCCCACCGAGCTCTCCAGTCTGAGTCACACCCTGATTCCAGAAGCTGTCCCTGCTTTATCCAGCAACATGGGCAGCCCCCACGAGCACCACAGCAACTGAGGCTGGTGAGGTGACTGTAGTGAGGGTTAGTGCGTCACTCTTAAACCAGAAAGCAGCAACGAGCCCAAGTCACTGCCCATGGGAAAGGCAGAGTTAATTGTATCACACTAAATGTTCAGGTCTATAGAGCCCTTAATTTTATCTATCTTCCCCCCCATTTGATCACACAGAGTTTTAAAAGACAAAAGGAAGGCACCATGTGAAAACATCACTATGGAAACATCAAAGGTTCCCTTGTACTTGCCTGCCAAGCGACTACCTAACTGAAGTTTTACATCCTATTGGATCACTGTTGGCCATCTGCTCTCCTTCAAACTTCTCCAAATTCCATATTTCCCTCAAAAGTTCATTTTTAGAAAGGAAGGAGGAGGAGGCAAGGGGAGAATCCAGCATTCTTGGCTAGTGCAGAGCTATTGTGAAAAAGGAAGATAAACTCACTTTGGGGCAGCCCCTTAAAAAGATAAAGATCTATGTTTTGCGAAGTAATTTCATAGAAAATACCCTGTTTCGAGATGCACTTCAGTGATAAGAGTATATATTGGCAGCCACAAGGCAAAACAAATAAACATCTGCTTCTAGTACTCTTGCACTAATTGTCTTCCTCTCTCCCCTTCTCTCATTTAGCCTCAAATGTATTTTCTCCTAAAATGTAAGTTCTGCCTACACTGGAGTTGTTGGCTGCAGGCTCCTCAGCCTTGCTCCAAATAAAACAAAAATAGATTTCCTGCCAAGCACTGGGGAAGTTTGAAGACTTCAGTTTGTAAAAATATAATCTTTTTTTATCAGTGCCCTAAGCTTGCCAAAGGTAATTACAGGCCATGGCACATTTACATTAATGCATAGGACCTACAGACATTTCAAAAGCTTAATGGAGAAACTCCATAAATGTACATATCGAAAAATAAATTAAATTAAACTGTCATGTAAAGATATCGCTTAATTTTGCAGAGCGGAAGGCGCTCTTAATGGGAATGGAATGGATCAGTGAGCATTTCAAAACCCAAAGCTATAATTTAAATTCAGGCTCTCCTCTAGTGTGCAAGTCACAAGACATATTTATTATAGCCTTGCGTTGTCAATTGTAATCGGTTTAGCAGAGACAAAGCTGTGTTGTTTTGCTTCCTTGCCCTTCTAGCTGGTTCAATATATTTTGATGTCAAACTATTGACAAGCAAACCAGAGGCTGAAATAAAATCATGTTTGCCTGTGACGATCTGGCAAAAATGCAGTCCAAGGTAAATGCAACTCTGAAGCCTACATATTTATTTATTAAGTGGCCAGGGAAAAATGGTGATGTGAAGCATTTAAACTTCTTTAAATAAACCAGTTGACTACATTTGCTGTTGCTCTCGAGGCCTGCTATGTGGCAACCTGGACACAAATAGATAAAAATAAGTAAAAGCCCTGTGAAAATGAATAGCATCATTCATAAGCTGCTGCCCTGAGCTTCGCAGGTGGCAGTAACAATTAAAATTGTTGCTCTTGATGCTCTTTTAGGTCTAGAGCCAAAGCCTGAGACCTAGGTCTCCAGCAAGCAGACAGCAACACTTCTTCCAGGCTGCTTAACCCATCAGCTCTTGTTCCTAGGGTGCCACTGGCATGATTTGCTGCAGGATTTTGTTTGGTTGCACAGTTAAAAAACAAGCCTAGGCTTCTGTGGCCATTAGCAAACATCATCTCCTTGCTGGATACACATTGCAAGAACAGTTAAATGCTTTTTCTGACATTCTTCTTTCTGTATTCTCCAATTATCTTTCTCGTCAAGGTCATTTTTAGATCTGGAGTCCTGAAACTTGTCAGCTTATTGGGTTAGAACTGTCACTTCTGCCTCCTGCCTTCTTCCAGCCCCTGTGCTGAGCTAAGCCTTGGAGATGGTTCTCTGAGCCAGAGCTTTTTACCCAGGATCTCTGTAACTCCTTGTGGAGCGCTCAGGTTTGTGAATCCAGCTCTAGACAACGCTACCTCAGAACTCATTGTTAGGAAGAGCTGCAGCCCATCAGCCAGGGACCGCTGCCCCAGGCACGCCTCTGAGGGCAGAGGCGAGTGGAGGCCAACGGGACTGGCCTCCACGGGCTCCCACTGCAGCGCTGCTGGTGCCGGGTGGGAGCCTAGTGGTGCGCAGGCAGGGAGGAGGGCACAGCCTGGGCACACAAAGGAGGGGACGGCCGCACGCGTGTCAGCTGGTGAGATATCGTGTTGTGGCACTAGTGAGCGGCCTGTCTTCAAACACGAGTTAATTTCTTTCTTCTAGGAGAATACCTGAGTACTGCATTTGTTCTTACTCGCATCAGGATTTTAAGGAGAATGGGCCACATTTTTGCTTTCAGTGTAAACTTTCAGCAGTTTGTTCCCCAAGCTAATACTTAAAAAACAAGCAAACCCCCACACATCCAAATGTGCCTCTTAATACTACACTGTTGTTTTTTTTCTGCTCACACATGAATACTAAATCGTAAACAGAAGCATCTTTTTAAACTTTCAGTAATACAATAATTTTTAGCATGATATGCTATTCCTCTTTCATGAACCTTTTCTAAGATGCACATCATCACCCTTGATCAGTCTTAAGAGAAATTTTTGTCACCCTTTTTAGTCTTTGAGTGGGACTTAAACAGTTTCTCAAGTGACAGCTCACCACTGACTCCTGTTACAAAATATTTCTGTTCCAGTTTTAAGGAACAGAATCGGACACAGCTTTTAAAGTGTGTTTTGTTCTACTATCAGTAATCTTTCTACTTACTTATCTGGTTCCTACTCTCACACTATCCAAATGCTAACAACTTTCCTCTTTGTTCTTAGCCCTTCTTCAGAAGAACACTCGATGAGAGATTTAGGTTCTGGTCCAAAACAATATATAGGCTCCAATTCCTACTGTCACTGATGTCAGTGACAAACCAGAAAGTCTAACATCTTCATTAATTTGGACTTCAGTGATTTCTTCAAGGTACAAGGAAATTATGGTCCAGTTGAGAACGGGGTGTGCGTGTATAAGTACAGACAAATAGCTATCTTACATTACCAGCCAAATACCATAACCACAGGTGTGACCACTTCTTTCCAATAAAGCCCTCACAGTCATTAAAAATGGTCTTTTCCTAAATAGCTTTTCCAGCTTAGCTGTCTGGTTCATGAGGCCTCAGAGCTCCAAAGTTGATGAAATCTACAAACACAGTCGTAACTTCTTGGCTTATGGAAAAGAAAAGACTTAAAGAGTGCTGTAAATAATGGTTAGGACAATAGGGTAGGTCACAGGTGTCAGTTAAAGGGCTTAAGTTAAAGAAGTACTATTTCTAAAATCCAAAAGTAGCTATTATGTTAAAAATGCTTCTTTCCCATGTTACTTTGTAAACAATAAGTAAATGCACAAAATACAAATTCTAAGCTATTTGGGGCAATGGTAATAAAGTCGTGCTTTTAATGCTCTTTTAAAAAAAACATTTTTGAATTATTTATTTGAAATATCCAAAAGGATTAGTTTAATAGTAAGTTTTTTAAACTTTATTTATTCTACCTTAATACAAATTTATTTTAATTTTACAGTTATAGAATTAAACTCACTCTTTTACACTAAAAAAAGAGTTAGGGCATTTCTCAAACTTCTGAATATCAGCCGAACAAATTACAAACAGTTTCATGCTTAAGGTAAGTATCCACTACGAGGTGTATAATCAAGACTGAACTGTACTTGTATTCTTAATTCATTAGTGGAACTGTAAGGCCCTCTTCTGGATTACAAATTACTGCACGGCCAAGCAAATTACATGGAAATGACAAAGCAAAACAATGCTACAAAAAAGAGAAACATCTCAAATATATTTTCTTCATATTGTTACCAATTTCATTTCCTGGTTTTCACATCTACCTGCCCATTCCAGTTACTGTAATTCAGTAGCTGAGAACAACTTCAACCTCTTAGCAGAGTCTTAAGGATAGAGCACGTTTTAGCTAATTTTCACAAGAGGAACAACAGTCTAAAAAGAGTTGTGGAGAGTTTCTCCACAACTTTATACGATAAAGACGCTGTGCAGCTAAGTGATACTTGCCTACACTTAAAAGCAACAGCATACAGACATGGGAGTCCGCATATATACCTGTCTCCATACATATTTGACTTTCAGAAGTTAGATCTGAAAATTTGGCTTATGCTGGAAGGTGTGTAAAAAACCATGAAGAACCATTACAATGGTCTCATCTCAAATCTTCAAGAACTGCACAATTCCTTATAAGAGTTTTGATTAAATACAGGCGCAAGGACTGTGCAAGTCTTGCAAATGTAACCTCCCAAGAGATTTACTTACTTGCCTACACAAACATTTACTATAGAAAAGCAAGATGCTTCCCCACAGACAGAAAGAAAGAAAATATTCTAGAATGTGCTGGACAAAATGGCATCATGTTAACGGATCCATCTGGCTGTAAACAAGTGAACTTGAACCGTAAACTTTCCTCTTTCTAAAAACAGCCACTTATCGTTCTCTTTGGCCATGTATGATAACAAGAAATCAAACACATAAAAACACAGTAACAGGTAGTAAGTATCCTATGAGCGAAAACTCTGCAGAGAACATTAGACAGAGCTTAATTGCACTGCACGTTTTTAAAAACAAGGACACTGAAGAAACCTTCACGTATCATTTTTTGGGTAAGTTTCTGTCTCCCATCAGTGCAGGGCTAATTACGACGGTCCTTTTTCCGTACTTTTGACTTCGGTGCTGTCAAGAAGAAACAGAAAGGGAGAAAAAAACCATCAGAAGTGAATTACAGTAATACCAGTGCCAGCATTCTTTTAAATTAGGTTGGGATCAAAATAGATCCATTAATGTGAAACTTACCATTGGGATTTTCTTGTCTGTAGAAAGCTTTTAACAATTCCACTGCTTCTTTGGCACGATAGCCAGAAACGCACTGTTCAAATTAGAATGATGCTCATGAGCACATCTGCGAATAACATATTCCATGCTTCACGACAATGCTTTAGGTATAGAATAATTGTAAACAACTGTACTTTCTATTCCTCTGATTTAATAGGTACCTTTAACTATCCGGGGGTCAGAAAATCTCTTTTTCAGGTTGAATACCTCATCTGTTTGAAAAATACTACATTGAGACAGTCAAATAAATAATTTCCCTAATAACTTAAAGTGAGGCAAAACAAACATTCTGAATAATTTTTTTTAAAGTGCAATCTCTGACTTCTTTCTTATTAATGTGTTTAATGTGTTTCCAACTTACTTCATACACTCCTCAAGCACTTGGAAATGTAACAGACATACACTGAGGTATCTGCAAATAAGATTCCTACCAGAAAACATTTGTCCACACACCTGTTCTTTATTCTTAACAGTCACCTCTCAGACCTTTTTGGTCCTTCCAAAATATTTTTCCAGGCCATGAACATTAATGACAAAGAATTTAAGTGTCACTAACACTGAATGAAACTCCACTCACATTACAAAATAATGAATTACAACTATACAACCCACTGCAGTTGCCCACAGAGGAAAGATCTGTAGTAGCAAGAACCTTTTTTAGTTCTGAATATATAGAAAAATTAAATACCACATGCCAACGTTAGAAAAGTAACTCTTCCAGTACTGACTACAAATTGATTCAGATGCTAGTCTCACAAACACTCTGACATGAAGGTGCTTAATACGTTTACACTGGACTTCCAATAGTGTTGTCTTGCCGACCAAAATTCTTTCCGAGCTTTGAGCCTTTAGTGCTTATTTACAATGCTGAAATAGGTTACTTGTTCTTTCTCACATTCATAAAATCATAAATGTTAAGCGTGGAAGAGAACTCTAAGAACTCCGATCAGTATCCTTATACAAGGCAGGATCACCTGCAACTGTATATAATAAATACAACACTACCTGTATGTGTATATAGGCATACTAGTATAATGTTGTAAAATGTTTAGACTTATGTATACTATACCTCCACTGAACGCTTGCCCAGACTTTCTTAAATGAGAAATATGTCTCATTTTCCTGCCAATCTGTTCTAGTCCTTCAGTAGCCTCACTGTTGAGAAACTTTTCTGATACCCAAACTACAACTCCTCTGCTACTTTTGCACTCCATATTTATTTTGAAATTTGAACTATATGAATTAGATCTAAGCTAATGCCTTTTACCTCATACATGTACAGACTGGGAGCAAAAATACCATCATTTCTAGTGGCTTGGCTGAAATACAGTAAATCAGTAAGTTGCTGCTACTTAATATTTATTATGTGTTTAAACATTCTGCAGTTTAAAATATTTTTTCCCTCATCTCTTCCTGCAGCAAACACTTGCTGCTTTAAGTATTACACATCTTTTAGATAGATTTATTCCTTACCTTGTTCCATGAGTATAATTCCTTCCCTCTTTGACGCATCCTTTTAAATATTTTCAAACTGACATCACACTTTTTCTCAATTTTCTCTAATTTAAGCACTTATATTTTTTATATTATTTTCTTGTAAAGTCAAGTTTACTTGACTTCTGATCATCTTTCATCTGAATTCTCTTAAAGTGATGCATAAGATTCTCAGAGCATGACAACGAAGCTAGGCACAGTACCCTAGCTGAAAAACAAAGGAAAACATTTTAGAGCTTACTTCAAATGGTTCTCCTGTGTCTACCATATCATCAGATGAGATGCTCAAAACTGAGCCGCAGCCTCCAAATCGCTCATTTTTACAGCCATATACGACCCGTGGAATTTATGTTAATGAGTTAAGGTATTAAGTTAAAGTGAAAAGCAAGCAGGAAGTACAGTAGCCTGATTTAAGTAGGCATTAGATTTCCCTGAAATGTGCTTGTACTTTTCAAACTGAATTAGTCTGCACTACAATTCCTCCCTCATAAAATCAGAACTTACTTACGAGAAATGCAAGACGCATTGCTGAAGACGCACATCCAGCCTTCCTCAGGAAAGGAAAAGTATGAATCCCAAAGCAGAGGCACACAAAGCCACAGTTTACTGATTGTTACAACATTCAAAACTGAACACTGAACTGAGATTAGCTCATTTTACATAAAAACAGACTATCTCTAAAATGCATTTTTACATCCCTAAGAGAAATCATTGTTTGTCAAAATTGCACCGCATCGCTTTCGTTCTTGAGGCTCTCGCTATTTAAGACGCAGTAAATGGAGATGGCTGCAGACTCTTCCACCACAGGATGGTGCCCCTGCTGCCTTTGCCTGACAGCTTCGAGCCTTTCTCTGTGGGCTCACTGCCAAAAGAGGAACATTTCAACATAGGGCTCCCCAGTTGATCAAGCATGAAAGGATACTCATCAAGCGCACGGCAGCTGCGCACATGATACAAGGCTCTACAGTTACGTACAATACCAACTGTGGAAATACTTCGGTATAATCTCTGTTGTGTTGCTTACACCAGTCGAGGACCTGATCGATTGCCACCATTTCTGCATGTCGAGTAGCCTAGAAGACAAAAAGAAACATTTTCGTAAAGTTTGCATTGATTCACAGCTTTAAGCTTCTCACTTGCTGAGACTTGAATGAAATAAAGTGCAGTCATAAAATCATTCTTTCAAGTCAAAAGCACAATGGTCTGACATCTAATTGATTAATAATGCAATAATTTTCACTTCTGATAAATAAGGAATGTAATGCTTTCTTGAGAAGTCTCTTTTTAGTACAGCCCTTTGCTGGTTCAAGTTGCAGAGGAAATACTCAGCCTAAGAAAGAACATATTCAACCTCAGTGTCATATGCAAGGCACACAAGATCCACAAGCGCAAACCGTTTTTTTTTCTTCTACCTGTTCCTAGGTAGAGGAGTCTGCTCAAAAGTTTTCCTCTCTCTGTCATGCCAGCATGTAACACAAGACAAGAAAGCTCTGCTTGAGCTTTAAGGGACACACAAAGCCCAGCAGAACAACGGATCACTCTCACTGTCCTTCCAAGGGCAAGAATACAGGCTGGGTTACTTTTGCTGGAAATATTAAGAACCTGCTCCTAGTTGGTACCTCTTCCTTCCCCCAACGATGTCACTGTGCCTGCATGGAATGAATATGCTGTGAATATGCAAAAAATTCAGTGCATTTCTGGAACTGTGTGGCCTGCTGTGTATACACAGTATTTTGGGGTTTAATGCTGCCTAGGAATACATACATGTACAGCAAGTCCCAGAAGTAATAGGCACGGATTGTGGCATACACCTGATTACAGAAAGACAGAAGAATATCAATTTCTCTTGTTTTTAAATCAAAAACAACTGAATGATAAGAATGTCAGAGGCAACAGCAATAGGTATATAGCTTATCAGAAGAAGTATTGACTTTAATTTAAGAGAGACAAAAACAATCAGTAATGTCCCAGGATTGCTCTGGAATGCCTGCAGCAGTGTGTTTTGCCAATCAAATGTCACAACAAAAATATCACAAAGTTCTCCTTCTGAAAGGACTCTCCAGTTACAAAGCCTGGTTTGAATTAAGGCTGTTAGTATTTTCCTTCTTTTTAATCCATTCTGGAAAAAGGATGGTTTTTACACAGGCCTTAGACCAAGACTTAATTAATCCAAATTACACCTGTACCTCTGCTACAGGCATCTTTATGCGACCTTAGATAACTTCCCCTCAATACAGGAACTTGGGTGAATGTTTTAGCACTGTAAAGATCTGTGGTGGTATCTCTACAATATAAGGCAAAGAACTCGTGTAACTCACTGGTAAGTTTAATACTGTTTAAAATGGTTTAAAACTCCTACAGAGTCCTACTTTGCATATGCCCTACATTAGCAAATAGTTCAGTGCAAGAGGAGTGCACCTGCAGGCCAAAACAGTGCTTAGGACTCAGCACCAGTTCAGGGGAGTTCACACTGGCCCAGTTCCAGTTTACTCCCATGGATGGTAGATTCCCAGCAACAGCTGGAGTGCACGAGGTCTGCTCCCCGAGTGCATCTTCTCAGTATGGTTTAATCTGAAAGAAGACAGTCTGGCATCTCTGAGACACAAACCAAATCACAGTAAGCAGACACGATCAAGAGATTTATCCCGAGAGTGCACTTGTGATCTGAAGTAACACAGTCACGAACCCACTCAGAATAAAACCTGGACCTGAATCAATACGCAGACAGGATTCCTCCAGACCTCCTAGTGCAATGTTGTCATTTGAACAGATGAGATCGCATCAGCTGAAGTCTCAGTGCCCACGCCTTATGGAGACACAAAGCCCTCCAGCAGAATGATGCCTCAGAACTTCTACAGCCACCATACCTCAGAACTGTTGTGGAGCTTCTCATTCTATGCCCCTCGGATCAGAAGAGTCTGGAATACTATACTGGCTTTTCAACTCCCGCACATGAATTGAAAGCAGATAAGCAGTAAAGCCTTCATTATCGGAGGAAAATATACTTCTAACCTATGACACAGCGTTACACTGAGTACACCGAAGAGCTTTTAGGCCTCTGCTGATCTTGGGAGTACAAGTTAAGAAAAGCCACGCAGCTGCTGTCATACCAGCTTCTGTGGTAACCAAAGTACACTACACAATACAGATTACACTAACGTAGAATTTTACAGAACAGTCTCTGTACAGAAAGTAACTAGACTATGGCTCATAACTCACTAGATACAGTAATTACTTTTCCAAGTTAAGATGACTATGGTACAGGTTTATAAAACCCAAGAAAAATGTGGAAAAGCAAAGAGTAAACTGTGATTTATTACTTCTCATAGCAAGTGGGCACCCAATGAAATTATCAGGCAGCAGATTTAAAACAAACAAAAGGAAGTAGTCTTTCACAAAGCACATAATTAAATTGTGGAACTCATTGCCACAGGATGCTATGGAAGCCAAAAACATAAATGAGTTCAGAAAAGGTTTAGACAAATTCATGGAGGATATGTGCACAGACAGCTATCAGAAACAAGGATCCAGATAGAGTCTTTGGCTCTGGAAGTCCCTAAGTTATTCACTTTCTGAAGTGGAAAGGATATGCAAGGGGAAGATTTACACTACTCTCTTCTTGTTTCTTGAGCTCCTCCTTTAAGCATCTGCTAAAGGTCCCCTTGAAAGACAAGATAGGGGAGAAAAACTGACCTTCTAGGTCTGTCCTAAGATCTTAATTTGTACTGAACTATGACTAGGTAGTCTTTTTAATTGACTTGCTGAGTGTAAGTGTATAAAAGACAATTTTCATGTTGAGGCACTGACTCAATTCATAGGCTTCTATAGACCCCTGCTATTTTTCAACTTGCCCAATCTTACATACTATTTTTAAGCCAAGAAAACAAAAGCAGGTAAGAGTAGCAAGGGAAGAAGAGAATTGTTAAGAGAGTGGCAAATGGCGTCCCAATGAGAAATTATTTGAAGCTGACATTAATGGGGAAAAAGCCTTGACAAAACCTTAAAATAGTGCCCCAAACTGTAGCAAATGTTTTCTAGGCAAATAAAGACACCATCACTGCCCTGAGAAGTTTACCTTCTAATGCTTAAATCAGAATTAACAAGTCAGAGTAAAGGAGGGCAAAGCTCAAAGTTCTATATTACCTTGTAGTTTCATTAATAATTTAAGAGTGCAAACATCCCATACTGTACTCACAAGATGATCTAGGCAAAGACACGTGCTAAAATGACCCAGCAGGAGACAATAAAGAGGAAAACTCTGCATGTAGCAACAAAGGACCTAAGACAGAGGGCATTTTAGCAAGAAGCAAGTGATCGCATCACATATGGAAATAAAGATGCCTAAAAAAAAAAGGGTTCTAGTTGTGAAGGATCACATATGTTATAAAGAAGAAAATTTTCAGGTTGGTCTGAGGCAAGACTATGAACAAGCATGTGGGAGCTGCCAGAGGGACCACAGCACTGGCACAAGTTAGTGAAAGTATCACCAGACTGCTGAAAACGAGTGTCTCACACAGACGTTTGTTGCGCTATTGCCCAATGAATCCAAGTAATGACATGCCTAACTATTTTGAAATGCTGATACCACAGCCATGCTCCTAAAAAACTAAACACAGCTGTATATAAACTCCCTTCTTCCAACAGCAACTTCTTCCAGAAGAATGTGATCAATACACCTGCAAATAGCTTCCACAGCACCAGCAGCAGTATCTCTGACATTAACATGTTCTGCTATAGACGTGCTGGGCAGAAACAAAGCATGCAGGTTGTCAGAAGACAGACTGAAAAAATTGGGAGATCTTTCAACAACAGGCAGTGGTTCACCTAGTTTTGAAGTATTGCCAAGGTTAAGGTGGTCTATACCCTGGGTCAAAACTGCTCCCGTAAATTAAAAACCACAGGTCATTGTCATAGGACCCTCCCTTCTGAAGGGAACAGAAAGCCCAATGTGCAAACTGGAAGCCCTTCTTAAGGAAGGCTGCTGCTCCCCTGGTGCCTGGATTAAAGATGTCAAGAGAAAGCTCCCTATGCTGGTACGGCCCTCCGATTACTATCTATTACTGATTTTTCAGGCCGGCAGTGCTGATGTTGCAACATGAAGTCCAAGGGCAATCAAGAGAAACTTCAGGGCCTTGGGACAAAAGGAGGGCTAAGGGGAATCTCCATCCTTTATTGCATGCAGGGGGAAACATAGTGACAAAGTCCTTCTCTGGGTAACCCCTGAGCTGGAAGACTGGGATGGGGAGCAGAATGAAGCCCCCATAATCCAAGGGGAAAAGATCAGTGACCTGCTGCTCCATTTACATGCACAAAAGTCTATGGGGCCAGATGGGATCCAGCCAAGGGCACTGAGAAAGGTGGCAGAAGTGCTTACCAAGCACTTTGTATCATTCATCAGCCTACCCTGGCTAAGCAAGGAGGACCCAGAGAACTGGATGTTAGCAAATGTGACGTCCATCTAACCATTTGGAGTGCCATCCCATGGCACATACAGGACAAGCAGATGATCAGGTCCAGTCAGCACAGGTTTATGAAAGGCAGGTTCTGCTTGACCAACCTGATCTTCTATGATCAGGTGACCCACTTAGTGGATTAGGGAAAGGCTGTGGATGTTGTCTACCTGGACTTTATTAAGGCTTTTGACACGATTTCCCACAGCATTGTCCTGGGGAAACTGGATACTCATCGCTTGGATGGGCATAATCTTTCCTAGGTAAAAAGCTGGCTGGATAGCCAAGCCTGAAGAGTGGTGGTGAATGGAGTTAAATCCAGTTGGTGACTGGTCGCAAGTGATGTTCCCCAGGGCTCAGGAATGGGGCCAGTTCTCTTTAATATCTTGATCAATGGTCTGGATGAGGGGATTGAGTGCACCCTCAGTAAATTCGCAGAGGACACCAAACTGAGCAGGAGTGTTGATCTGCTGGAGGGTAGGGAGGCTCTCCAGAGGGATCTGGACAGGCTGGATCGATGGGCTGAGATCAGTTGTACAAGGTTCCCCAAGGCCAAGTGCCAGGTCCTGCCCTTGGGTCACAACAACCCCATGCAGCACTACTGGCTTAGGGAGGCGTGGCTG